TGATAAATATATAATAATTACTATAAATATATAAGAATAAATTAAAATCAACATATAATTATTAATAACAAATATAATCACCATTATTTTACTATTTCCCGCTATAATAATTTCATTTTATTATGATGATGATTTTATTAATTGATTACTCTCCATGATTTGATCATTCCTTTAATTCCCAACCTGCGGGAAAACGGGAAACTCTCCTTTCATTCCCTTCCTCCCCCTCTCAACGCAGTGAAAGTGCAAAGGGAACCTCCTGAGGAGCTGCAGGACTTGGGGATTGTTAATTTTGGGATGTTGAAATCATCTCCCGTTTCCATCCCCAGGGAGACTCCGGAGCAGCCGGAGCGCCGGGAGAGCCGGGAATGCCGGGAATGCCGGGCCACAAAGGGGACAAGGTGGGGGATTGGAGTTGGCCAGTCTCGGGTGGGTGGGAAGGGTTGGTCGTGGTCAGGGTGGGGTTGAACTCTCCCCATCTCCCAGCTCTGAAGGGAGGGAAAAGCTCCCAATTGACAAATGTTTGGGATTTTTGGTCCCAGGGAAGTCCAGGATTCGGCATTCCTGGTCAGCCGGGGCCGAAGGGAGACACGGGAGACAGGGTGAGTGGGGAAAGTGGGAAAGGGAGGGGGAAGGGGGAAAGCAGGAGGTTTGGGGACAAAATCAGGAGGTTTGGGGACAAAATCAGGAGGTTTGGGGACAAAATTGGGAGGTTTGGGAATAAAATCGGGAGGTTTGGGGACAAAATCAGGAGATTTAGGGACAAAATGTCTCTTGTCGACTCCAGGCAGGTGAAAAAGTGTGGGAAAGGGAGGGATAAAGGGGGAAAATTGGGGGTTTGGAGACAAAATCAGGAGATCTGGGGAAATAATCAGGAGGTTTGGGGACAAAATCAGGAGGTTTGGGGAAAAAAATGTCCCTTGTCAGCTCCATGCAGGTAAAAAAATGTGGAAAAGGGAGGGATATGGGGGAAAATCGGGAGGTTTGGGGACAAAAGCGGGAGGTTTGGGGACAAAATGTCTCTTGTTGACTCCAGGCAGGTGAAAAAATGTGGGAAGGGGAGGGATGAGGGGGAAAATCAGGAGGTTTGGAGACAAAAATCTTCACGACTCCCGTGTCTAAGAAGGTGCAAAATTCCGGTGGCTCCCAGGAGAGTTCCCTGGTGCCTGGGAAGGGTTGGGATGATGCCTTGGTGGAAACCAGCCCAAATTCACCAAATCTACCCCTTTTTGGTGCTTGTTTTTGCCAGAGGGGTGGGAAAGCTCAAAATGGGAGTGGTTTTAAGGAAAGGGGAGGAAAAGGGGGAATTTTGTGTTTGGAGCAGCCCCATTTCCCCCCCCCTCTGCTTTTCCTGTACTGCTCATATTCCAGTTTTTCCAGCTGTGTCCTGTCACTGATGGCTGGTCTGTATTCCTGCAGGGAAATGTGGGTTTGTCTGGAAAACCCGGGCAGAAGGTGAGTCCTGGAGGGATGAAAATCGCTTTGTCCCCTGGGGAGGGGCTGGAATGGAATTCCCAGGGAAGCTGTGGATCCCTGGGAGTGTCCAAGGCCAGGCTGGAGCAACCTGGGAAAGTGGAAGATGTTGGGATTGGAACTGGATGAGCTTTAAGGTCCCTTCCAACCCAACCCCCCCCTGTGGGATCCCATGATTCCATGGATTAGGGAGGTAGAGATGGCTCTGGAAAACACCCCCAAGGTGGTGTTTGCTCCAGGAATGTCTCCCTGTGCCCATTTCCCACATTTTGGAGGGAGGGAATCTTGCCTGAAGGACTGTTTGGATGTGGGAAAATATTCCAGAGGTTCCAGGGAGCAGAAGATTTGGGCTGGAGGAGCTGGACCAGAGGGAGAGGAGTGAGGAGCATCCAAGGCAGGGAGCACTGGGAAGGGGTTGGAATGTGGGAAGGGGTTGGAATGTGGGAAGGGGAGGCCTGGGGGTCTCTCCTTTAAGCTGGAAACCTTCCCAGGGGAGGTGGAGAACCTCAAAAAGTCCTGCAGGGTCTTCCAAGGAGGATTTTTTTGGGGGATCTGGAGGGGCTGGATTAGAGAGGTGGATCTTTCCAACCCAGGGGAGAAGTTTTGAGCCCAGGAGGGTGGAAGGAGACACGAGGGCTGAAATGTGGGGGCTCTGGGAGGGAGCAGGGGGTGGTGACAAACATCTCCTGCTCCCCAGGGGGACGCTGGGCCCAAGGGAGAGAAAGGGGAGCCGGGAGCGCCCGGGAAAGCGGGAGAGGCCGGACTGAGGGGCAAAGATGTGAGTACAGGGGTCTGACTCGTAATTAGCTCATCCAGGGTTTAACTCCTAATTAGCTCATCCAGGGTCCGACTGGTCCTGGGCTCAGCCAGAGTCTGACTCCTCATTAGCTCATCCAGGGCCTAACTTCTAATTAGGTCATCAACTCCTCATTAGCTCATCCAGGGTCTAATTCCTAATTAGCTCATGGAGGATCTAACTCCTAATTAGCTCATGGAGGGTCTAACTCCTCATTAGCTCATCCAGGGTCTAACTCCTCATTAGCTGATTAAGGGTCTAACTCCTAATTAGCTCATGGAGGGTCTAATTCCTCATTAGCTCATCCAGGGTCTAACTCCTAATTAGCTGATTAAGGGTCTAACTCCTAATTAGCTCATCCATAGTCTGAGTCCTAATTAGCTCATCCAGGATCTAACTCCTAATTAGCTCATGGAGGGTCTAACTCCTCATTAGCTCATCCAGGGTTTAACTCCTCATTAGCTCATGGAGGTTCTAACTCCTAATTAGCTCATCCAGGGTATAACTCCTAATTAGTTCATCTACTCCTAGTTGGCTCATCCAGAGTCTAACTCCTAATTAGCTCATCCAGAGTCTAACTCCTCATTAGCTCATCCAGGGTCTAAATCCTAATTAGCTCATCCAGGGTCTAAATCCTAATTAGCTCATCCAGAATCTAACTGGTCCTGGGTTCATCCAGGCTCTAACTCCTCGTTAGCCCATCCAGGGTTTAACTCCTAATTAGGGTCCTCCAGGGTCCAACTCTTAATTAGCTCATGGAGGGTCCAACTCCTAATTAGCTCATGGAGGGTCTAATTCCTCATTAGCCCCTCCAGGGTCTAACTCCTCGTTAGCTCATCAAAGGTCTGAGTCCTAATTAGCTCATGCAGGGTCTAATTCCTAATTAGCTCATGGAGGGTCTAACTCCTAATGAGCTGATCAAAGGTCTAACTCCTCATTAGCTCATGGAAGGTCTAACTCTTAATTAGCTCATCCAGGCTCTAACTCCTCATTAGCCCTTGGAGGGTCTAACTCCTCATTAGCTCATGGAGGGTCTAACTCTTAATTAGCTCATCCAGGGTCTAAATCCTCATTAGCTCTCCAGGGTCTAACTCCTCATTAGCTCATGGGGTTGGAACTGGCGGATCTTCCCAGCCCAAACCAGTGTGGGATTCTTTGATCCCATTGTTTTGTGGTTAAATCACAGCTGTCTCAAGGCCTGGCTGTGGATTTTTGGGAATAACAGACTCCCAGGAGGTCTCAGCTTGGAAGGAATCCATGAGGATCATCCCTGCCTGCTCCTCACAGCACCCCCTGATAGTTCCTTCTTAAGATCCCACAAGGATTCCCCTGGGAAAAGGGCCATGAGTGGCTCCTGGAAAACTCTCCAGACACAGCCAATGAAGACCTTTTGTCCAGTTTCAGGGTTAATTCCTGGATATCAGATGGAAAAGGATCCCTCTTAACAATCCCATGATCAGAGGAGGTGTCCCCACACAAAAACATCGGGATTGGCTCCTGGAAAATTGGCTTCTTAAACTCCTCTTATCCCCAACTTGGCTTTGGAAAACCTCTCCTAACCAAGTCAGGGAAGACCTTTCTTCATTCCAAAGGGCTGGATTATCCCTGGAATAGGAGCATTCCAAGGAAGTCAAAAAAGGCAGCAGTCCAAGTGGTGATTTCCCAACAAGAGCTGAGGAGGAAATTAAGATTACAAGAAAAAAAAAATGCCTTTTGTGGGTGGAAATGTGACCCAAGAGCCTCCATCTGCCCCGGGAATCCCGGGAATGCTGCAAAAAAGCAGGATGACCCCTGCCAGAGGTGGCTTGGAGAGCGCTTGGAGGATTAAATTCCATGAATTTAATGCCCCCACATCACCCTTTTAACACCCTCAACATCCCCCAGGGCAAAGAATTCCACGGGTTAATTAAAGAATTTAATGTTTAATTTGCTCCCTGCTCATTTTAATCTCATTTTTTGGGCCTTTAGGTGGGACTGGGAAGGATCCCCCTTTCCTATTTTCCCTCTGCTTTCCCCTTCCAGACCTAAAAGCTGGAACAAAAAGGCCAAAAAACACCCAAACTGCCTTTTTTTTAACCCTTGGGAGATGGTTTTTTATTTTCTGGATAAATCCAAACATCCCTGAAGCTCCCAATAATGGGATTTGTTGGAAATAACCCCTAAAAATGAACATTTTCTCATCACCCTCCACCTTCTTCCTTCATTTATGGGGGTGTTGTCAAACCCCACCCCCTAAATTAGAACAATTAACCCCCCTTTATTTTGATTTTCCAAGCCTTGAAAGTGGATTTATCCTCCCTTCAATCCCCTGGAGTGATGGGTGGATTTTCCTCCAGGTCCAAAGCGCGTTAAAATCAGCCATAAAATAAGGAATAAAATCCCCCAGGAACATTAAAATTTCCTTCTCTTTTCCAGGGAGAAGCTGGAAAACCAGGAGTGAGGGGAATCAGGGTAATAATTATCACAATTATGGCAATAATTCTGATGATTTTCTTTCCCTGCCACCCCAGGAGGGGAATTTCCTCTTTTATCCCCACTCAGGAACATCCCTGGGGGGGCAAAGATTTCTCCCCTGGGTGGGTGGGTGTAAAAAAAAAATCACATTGTTTTCCTTTTTTTCAGTGGGTTTTGCATTTCCAGTGGTTTTTGGATTCCTGATCAGGGTTTATTGCTGATTATTTGGGTTTTTGGATGTCCTTCCCAGGGTTTTTTGCTGATTATTTGGGGGTTTTTGTTGTTTTTCTCCCACTTTTCAGGGCCCTCCTGGATTCCCGGGACGAGCTGGAGAGCGAGGGATGAAAGGAGATCCAGGACAACCTGGAAAGGATGTAAGGAAATCCCTGGAGCAGCAGCTGGCACAGGGTGGGCCTTGGGATGGGGCAATTCCCGAAGGATAAAAATTGGATTTTGGGGGTTTTTTTGTTAAAAAAAAAAAACAAACCAAAACAACTTCTCCTATCCCAAAGGGAATACTGGGATTTTCCACACTCTTGGGAGACTGAGGAGAGGAAATTCCTTAAGGAGCCCAATCCCTGAGGAGGAGGATAGTGAGGATAATGAGGAGGATAATGAGGATAATGAACCCATTTCCAATTAAATCTCAGGGAATTCCTGTGCAGGGCAAATCCAGGGAACTTGGGCTTGTCCATCCCCCAGATTCCAGCCCAAGGAAAAGCCCAGAGGGATCCATCCCAACACTCCATTTCCCTGGGAAAACAGGGAATAAGCTGGCTTGGATTGCTGGAATAACCTCAGTTTATTATTCTGGGAGCTGAGATCACGATCCATCTCTGCCTCTTCCAGGGGGATCGTGGGAATGACGGATCAAGAGGTGAAAGAGGCCCCCCAGGCCCCAAGGTACGTCCTGGGTGGGAAAAAAAAACACCCATTCCAAGCTTTCCTGAGCCCTGGAGGGTTTGGGATTGGGATTTCCAAGCAGAGCTCCTTGGGATGGGCTCCCAAAGCCGTGGGGGTGGTGGAGTTGGTTCTCTGGTCCTGCATCTCCACTGGGAGCATTTAGAGGGAAAAAATGATGGGTGGGATGAAATTCCCAAGTGTTCAGGGCTGGTTCCTGCCCTTCCTCCCTCCCTGCAACGTCAGGAAGGGCCGGAAGGAGAAGTGGACTCAGGATTCACACAGGTCCAGGGAGCTGGAGAGGTGGGGCCAACTCATTCCCAAAAACGGGGGGAAAATGTTGTGGGAAGAGGGTTCAGGTGGATCTTCTGATGGGCACGAGATCCAGGGCTCTGGAATGTAGGGCTTGTCCCATGGGCTGTGTCTCAGACATTCCCAGTTCAGCCAGGCCATCCCAGTTCAGCCAGTCCATTCCCAGTTCAGCCAGGCCATTCCCAGTTCAGCCAGGCCATCCCTGCATGGGGACTCAGCCATTCCCAGTTCAGCCAGTCCATTCCCAGTTCCCCAGTCGATTCCCAGTTCCCCAGTCGATTCCCAGTTCCCCAGTCGATTCCCAGTTCACCCAGTCGATTCCCAGTTCAGCCAGTCCATCCCTCCAAGGTGACTCAGTCCCTCCCAGTTCAGCCAGTCTATTCCCAGTTCACCCAGTCCCTCCCTGGCCCCCCTTTCCCAGCCCCCCAGTCCCAGCAAGGCCTCCCCAGTTCCCGTCCCTGCCCCTCAATCCCTCCTTCCCAAACCCCCATTCCTGGGAAATG